TAGAAAATATTTTGCAGAGAAAATGATTTCAAGTGTATTTGATTGGTATAATTTTTCACCAGAAAAATTTTTAAATTTTCTATTCGTTTAGCTTTGTTTTATATGAAAATTGTCCATTAAAGTGATATTTTTTTCACAATTGGTTATAAAATTTGTTTCCATTGCCAAAAAGTAAAAAAAAGGGAAAAAATTATTTCCTAAAAAATCATTTTTTTAATCAAAGTTTAGTGTTCGTTTGACTTTATTTTACATAAAAATTGTCCATTAAAGTAAAAAAATTTTTACAATTGATTATGATATTTGTTTCCAAAAAAAAAAATAAAATAAAAAAAAAAAAATTTGCCCAACCGGTTGGAAAATATTTTCCCAGCATAAATATTTTCAAGGAAAATCAAGAAAATGCTGACGTGGCGGGTGGAAGGGGGGAAATATTTTCCGGGAAAAATTTAGACAATCAAACAGCGTAAAAGATGGAAAACGGAAAATATTTCCCTAGTTACCTGGAAAATTTCGCCAATCAAACATGCCCTAATTTTGAGGAGAATAGAAATTTTGAAATAGTGATTGATATAAGAATGTGTGATGAAAAAGTGATGAAATTTTTTTGATTTGTGTGTAATATTATTTTATTTGGATAATGTATGATTGAAATGAAGAATGAGAAATTAAATGGTGTCAAACGGGGATATTTCCATTCTATTTTAATCATGTAATTGTAAATCAATTTTATTCAAACGAGATAATCATGTTTTAATTCGATTTCACTACTTTAATTTGATTTCAACTAAGATAACTCCGTCCACTTTTACTAAAAATAATTGATGATGTGACGATTATTTATTGAAACGGACGGGTCAAATGTAGTACTTAAAACACGTTTTGGTTTTTTATTATATCATAATTTAAGCAATTAGATCTTGCAAACAAGAGTAATAGTTGCAAATTTTAGAATAACGTTGTTTAACATCAGTCTATGTGACAGCATGTAATAAATTCAATTAAGGGTAAAATTATATGATTTCTTCAATAATGCTATCTAATGTTGAGCAGTGCTAAATATGGTAAGAGTGATAGGGGCCTTTCGTCGCAGTTAATAACCAAATTAGCGGTCAGAGCGAAGACGGTGCCGTGAAGAAACAAGTGGACGCCGGCGTAGCTGACCACGTGGTTCGTGCATACAGATCAAAAAATGAATCAAATATTGATTCCAAAAGGTTCGATATTCGTCCTTATCATGAATTTCTAGAATTGAGATTTTGTCGACTATTTATTATTATTATTTTCAAGAAAGCTGCAAGATTTTGTTGGCCTCATATACCCAAAATACCCTTCTCATAATATCTCGCACTTCCTTCAAGAATATTATTAAATACAATTCCATTGGTCTCAAATTGGCCTATGAACAAACTTACAACATTAAACTAAACTAAACTAAAACCCACATTCCGTTCTTATCCACAGACAAGTGGGATTAGGTTAATCATCATTTATTTATCTAACTACACATTGCTTTCCCGCAATCATACGTTAATTATTTATTATATTATTCGCCCCAATAATCAACTCGAAAGCTTACTAGAACCCCGTAGACCAATCTGTTTGAAAGCCATTAATTTCTTGCAACGTATTATGGAATAATAGATTAATGGAGATTTTGTGATTAAAAAGTAAGGAAATTTTATTGATTTGTGCGTAAAATATTTTATTAAAGGTTGAACCCCAACCTTGAGGGCTCCCACCGCTCCACCCCTAGATAATTGTGGATGAGGTAAATCGCGGGATGCGTCTCAACAGGTTAGGGTATAAGAGTTGTCATACTGATATTCACAAAGAGTTCAATTTCATACTTTGTAAGAAGCGGGGATCGAATCCTCACACTGCTGCTGTCAGCTCGGTTAAAATTACCTCACTCTTGTCCTTTGCACCACTGAATTATGCCTCGAGAATTGTACTGTAGCAAATAATTTAAAATTTTAAAAAACGACAAACATGAGCTAATAAATTGGGTTAAGCTGATCCATTCAACCAAGATTATTTAACTAAAAATGTTAAATAAAAATTTAAATTTAAATCAATAATTAATTTTAATGGTGTATTTTATGGAATATAATTTTTATCAAATTTTTTTAATCATATATTTAATTATTTTTAAAATAAAATAAAAGAAGAAGGCCGTGGTAGAACATGAATTCCGTTATTTGAAGGGAACATTTTGGTCATTTGTTTGTCAAGAGAGAAACCAATTCTCTTCCATCACAAAGAAAACAAGTTATTAACCGGAAAGAAAAGCAAACACGGAACCCCTAAAAATTCCTCTCTGCTTATTCTCCGCGAGTAGCTCGATAATTCTTCAAGAATCTTTGTTTTTTTTCCACAATTCACATTTGAATTGAAGGTTTTATAATTTATTTATGTGTGTAAAAGTATAAACAGCGAAAGGCGAGAAGTTAGGGTTTGAAATTATTCTAACTATTACGGTCGTAGTGTGAGTTGAATTTTGTTTACAGTTTGAAACATGGTGGTTCCGACGATAGCTCTTTCCGCGACTCCACCCAGCACTGTGTGCTCAGCGCCTCACTCGTGCCAAATCAACTCTCACGCATCGTACGATTTCGATGTTAACGGCCGGTCGACGTCGTCTGCTTCTGCTTCAGCATCTCCGTCTCAAAAACCCATTGTCGGCGGCCTCTCCTGCCTATTTTCATCTCCGGCAATGAAANATTTCCATCTCCGACAATGATATCCTCAAGTTATTCTGGGGGATCTGAGGAATCGGGATCCTTATGGCTCGACAAGGCAGAGGAATTGAGCTCCTCTTTTAGATATACATCTTTAAAGCGAGATCAGTTACATCACAGCCCGGTTTCGGTGTTTCAGGGCCCAACAACTAGTACAATTGGATCGAGTTCTCGAAGCTCACCCGTGAGAATTAGCGGGGATTTGCATTCAATAAGGTATGGGAGTACAGGTTCATTCGGTAGGTTCGTGACCCGCGCGTTGAATTCTTTTGTGGATTATGATTCTTCACCTACGGGTTTTGATGTAAAGCATTTCGATCCTTTTGTCTCATCGAATGTATTGGTAGATGAGCTCACGTTTAACTTGGAGGATAATTTCATAGAGTTGGATATCCCGCCTTATGCTAAAGACTTACTTTATGATGCTCAGTCGAGACATGTGATCTTCCGGGATGATTTTGTTATTAAGGCGTTTTACGAAGCTGAAAAAGCTCACAGAGGCCAGGTACTTTAAAATTTAACTTTCTCGTTATTGTGTTTATTTGCAAGATGACTTATAAGATTGTGGTGTTGTCCATATTTGTAGATGCGGGAAAGTGGGCATCCTTATTTGCAGCATTGCGTGGAGACGGCAGCTTTGCTGGCTACGATTGGGGCTAATTCTACAGTTGTTGCTGCGGGGCTTTTGCATGACACGGTTGATGATTCTTTTATGACTTATGATTATATTTCGAAGACATTTGGAGCTGGGGTTTCTGATTTAGTTGAAGGGGTAAGAGAAATTGAATGTACTGAATTTTTGTTTTTTAGGTTTTGTTTGGCACACTATGGATCTGATGATTGTGTCATGTAGTTCTATATAGGTTTTATACGATGATGTGCTGTTTAAATGTTATGATCTGTTATTTCCCAAACTTGCCTCGTCTGTATATAAATGAATTTTCTAACTTTCCCTTTCCCTTCTGGTAATTTATTTTGTTAACTCCATTTACAGATAGAAGATTGAGTATTACTATTTTCAAGGAAAAGGATGTTAACATGAAACTGCATGTTTATTAATAACATATCATAATTTGACAATGGGGACTTTGGAGATGTATTGATGCAACTTATTATGTAGCAATATATGATGTGATATTGTGAGAGGCTCTTGTACATCTAATTAAAATGTGCTGAAGGATTTATCAGGAAATTTGTTGATTGCCATGGATCAGTTTTCTTCTTTGCATTGGGATTGATTAGTTGAATTAAATGAATTTGTTGGGTTTCTTTCAGGTGTCTAAATTAAGTCAATTAAGCAAGCTTGCACGGGATAATAACACTGCCAGTAAAAGTGTGGAGGCAGATCGATTGCATACCATGTTCCTTGCAATGGCAGATGCTAGGGCTGTTCTGATAAAACTGGCTGATCGATTGCATAACATGATGACTTTAGATGCATTACCTATAATTAAACAACAAAGATTTGCTAAGGAAACTTTGGAAATATTTGTTCCGCTAGCCAATCGATTAGGGATCTCTACTTGGAAGGAGCAGCTAGAAAACCTCTGTTTTAAACATCTGAATCCAGATCAATACCAGGAATTGTCGTCAAAACTTGTCAAGTCCTTTGATGAGGCTATGATTACTTCTGCTGTAGAAAAACTAGAGCCAGCTTTGAAGGATGAGGCCATTTCTTATCACTGCCTGTCAGGGAGACACAAGAGC